TGTTTCATCCACTAAACAATCGTGGTGAAGATCATCATGCTCACGAATGTGGATATTGCACTATAATAATAAACTCACTTTCTTGAAGATATCGTGCCTCCTGATGATCTCGCCTTACGGAAACTCACATATCTTAAGTTTTTCACTGTGCTTAATGCCTTAACTCAAATAATTTTCGGTTCCCTATCCATGGTTCAAGGCAACAGTTAGTGGAGTTTAAGTATGATTGGTGTGAGCGCCGCATTCACCCTCGGGTCAAATCACGTCATGACGAGAAAACGGTTCTCTATCATTCAGTACTTGATAGCAGTCAACCCCTTCAGAATTTCAGATGTCGTCATCATGCGTCAGTCAGACCATCATCGCTGAAGTGGACTAGCAGAAGTGGTCGAATCGCGTTTCTATGTAGTTAGTTACCAAGATAAATGCTTTTTACAAGAAGAAACATTATCGACTCCACCACTACAACCTCCCGCTACTTGAGAACCTTGAAGCGCTGCGGGAGCCCGCCTCGGAAGGTTTAGGCGGTGGTGCTGTCCGTCACTCGCCAATGAAATCTTTCCGCCATCGAAACGGTTCAATTCTACGAATTTGATGGGTTGGGTGAAGGTTAAGGAGAGGGTGGCAATTGTTCACGAAGGTTGCTAACCCCCTTCCATGAAGTGCCAAACAATTACAATGCTCAAAGATAAAGAAAAACCGGGGGAGAAAGCTGCTGATTACTGCGTAGGCCGGAACAACACCTACGACTCGGTAAACCACAGTAAACGATTGGTAGATGTACGCGATGCGTCATCACGATCTTAGTGGCCAGCCATGATGTAGCAATGTTATCGACAAACCCATTTATCGACGTCTGCATCACGAAAACCCAGAAGGTCAGCACCGACGTCACTACAATATGCAAGACCGGATGAGCTAGCGATTTTGAGAAATGGATCAGTGGTAACCAAATATTCCATCCGAAGGCATTCGAGAACTCTAAAGTTTACGGTCCCAAGCCCGGACAAGAAAGGAGCACGATTGGATACGTAGCGATGTCTCCACAAAACGCAGCCACATGTCCTCAATGGTATTGACGCCATCGAACGATATACAGGCTCATTTGTAGTCCGAGGTACCAAGGGCTGAGCAGGCTCTTAGGGGACTGAAGCAAGTTG